ACGCGGTGTTACTACTTTTAGAAACAGCAGGTTATTATTTCAATTAAGACGCTATTTCAATTGTGATGTCACAACGCTATCTTCTTCTCGGTTAATATAACTTCCTCATGTCTACATAATCGCATAATCTCCTCAACAGAAGTTCATAATAAGATTTTAAAACAACTTTATCAAACAAACAGTCACTTTTTAATAAAAAAAATAATGTTTCAAAATTCCGTCTAATGAGGGGTTTGGTAAACTTTTGTTTCGGAATAGATGTGAAGAGGTTTTTGGAACAATTTTGGTATATCGGTATACTGATAGTTGAGAAAATTATTTTCAAATGTTCCAAACAATATTGTTATATTAAAAAATACACATTCTGCACAGGAATAGGATATACGTTTAAAGTTCGTGTACATCGTCCGAAATTGGTCAATTATAAAATAACCTTTAGCAATTGCTCTTTGTTATCAGTTTACGGAAGACCAAAGCGGAACTAGAGAAAAATAGCTATTGAATTTTTCAAACATTTCACACATAACGTGTATTTTATTTGGAAAACTAAGAGGTGAAGTGGCGTAGTTATTTATTTCATGTGAATATAATTGGTTCTTTGTTTACATGACAGTTACTTCTGTCCTCTTATCTCCAGAAAACGTACGTAGATCTATAGAATGGAAATGATAGCTGTTTTATGTCGACTGATTTGACTTTGTCATTTATCTGTTTAGAAGCCTTGTACACTTGTCACTTGTGATACGGGTATGTTTTCGTACAAAGGGAGCTAGCTTTAATTGCAATGTATCATTCTATTGTAAAATTGTCATGCGCAAATATGACCCCGCCGGCGAAGGTCGATCAAATGTCAAAAACATGGCGGTACATCCGGGCTTCGTGTTGTAGAAAATGGCATTAACCGCATCAGAAAAGGTTAGTTAACTGTCAAAATACTTTTCAAGTCGGAGATTCGATTACTGTCGATTTCTGAAGAGAACGTAGGGCATGTCAATTACATGGGCCATGTTGACAGACGCGCCGGACGGAAACATGCAGTGGCTGTCAATTTCAGGTGCGAACCCACTTCACCTTTGACCTCATCTCATCACGTCCGGTATGTAACGAGATTCTCGATGATGATAGGTTTAGAATTCGATGTAACGAGGGTTTAGATGAGACTTGGATGTTTTTGCTTGTTTGTGATTAAGTATGTGAACCTAGTTATTTGGTAGACGTTAAAAAAAGAAATTAAAAAGTGATGAAGCAAACTAATTTCAAGAAAAACTAATCTACCTTTGATGACGGAAATTGAATCACTTTAAAAGCACCAAAACAACAAAATCAATTATGGTAACGAAATATTGAAGTGTAATTCTGCAAAAATATAATTTGCAATACAAAAATATGTTTTTAAAACGTCAGCTTTGTAGACGTGTAACAAAATGTAAAAAAATCTAGAACTAACGAAAAGATACATTTTTTTATGTATCTGATGACCTGCTCATTCAACTGGACTATCACATCTTGACTTCAGATTCGCCAAAAAATGTCATAGGGATCGCCGTTGCTTTCAGTTTGACGGTTTGTTTACATACAGATACTGCTTGAATAGGCTCTCGGAATACAACATATCCTCTTCCAGCGGACTTACATTATGTAACACATTAACATGCTGTATAAACATATTCTGGACATGCATTAAAATCACAGCGTAACATACATTGGCTTTACGTGTCCGTTTCTTTCAAGAATTGTTAATAAAGCAGCTATTTAGCAATATTCCGAGAATTTGTTCTCTTTGAAATTTCCAAAAACGAGGATTTCGGTCATAAGAATATAACCAATCAGTGTCGAAACCAGTTTTTGTTGAGCTTCCTTCAGAAATATTTTTAGTGATCAATCTGTCTACATGGGCAAGCGTGACGCTTAACGTTACAGAACAAACTTAACTATATTGGACACGTAATATACAGAAATGAAATACACCTATTGTTTTGTAAGTATTTAACCGTTAATCCTCGAGTCATGTTAGTTAATATACAGAACTCACGAAACTGTAATATTCATTCCCGTTAATAAATAAAAATACTTTGAGAATTACTCAATCATGACCATCGACTTGTCAACACAAAATGTAAAACTAACCAAATAAAACTCGAAAAAATAAAACAGGTTAAAATAAATCTGTATTGGAACCCCTACCCTACCACCACAACGATTAAGCTGATTTCCGTATACAAGATGCTTATTAGGTAGACGTGTGTAGTTCTGCTTTAAAAGATTTAAAAATAAGCTATGTTACAGAGAATTTATTTTTTATGAGATAATGGTGTCCTTTTGGTATTGTCTGGATAATTAAGGGGCAATTGTGATGTTCGAAGACACTAACTGCCGAACAAGACAAAAGCTGTCAGAATTTGATGACAAAAGAAATTGAAAAATCACGCAATAGATTGAAATAAAGGTCTTTTTCAAATGTCTGGCATCTCAAAACCTAAGTAATACAAGAAGCATTAATTGTGGTTGTTTTTTGACCGAAAAAATGTTTTAGAAATCTTTAAGAAATTCAATTACGGGACTTTGGTCTGAGCTACCGGATGTCGAAAGGTACAATTAAATAAAGAGGCGAACAATTACGGAAAGCCGACCCAAGTTCGACACTCATTTGAATAATTTCAACTATCTAATGATTTTTGCTCTTTTCGTTTTTCTCACGGTGTTAAATTTTTAAAACAATTAAAGTTTGAGTTTCTCGGCGAAGTTTCCGATTGGGGTTTCGGACCAAGTGGATGTATACAAGTGACTTTCGCCCTTATGTGTATTGGGTTATAGCCCTCTCTATTTTCTACCGTCTTGCGTGCTCATTTGCATATGATTAAAAAAATCATAATAATTAGGGTTGGGAAAGAAGCCTTTAGACGCCCAATTCCCAATATATCTCTCTGTGTCTTTTTTTTAGGATTTAGAAACAAAAAAAAGACGAGTTCCATCAGTAACATAAAGTGGAATATCAATATCATCACTGTTGTTGAGTTTCACGTTTCAAGTCAAAAACAGAAATATCACCGTTCTTCCATGAGTTATGTCTTCGTTGTGTGATTCGGGGCAAACAGACGAAGCAACGACATGACACCTAGATCAGCCATAGAGATCGCAACACGTTGTTAATTAGATACACTATACCCATACCTATGTGTTTTATTTGCTATTGTTTTATATTAGCTATTTCAGTATGCCTGCTCCGTAAATGTTTGTTTGAATACAAAACCCAAGGTAGCAAACTACTTCATTTTGGACGAGGTTTATTCGTACTAATAGTTGGTTATGTTAGAACAAAACTTGTTATATTATGAATGAGTTGAAAAGACAGCGTCTACACAGAGACAGAATTTATCAATGCGCCGACATGCAAGGAAAAAATATACCGTAGCGGCACACACAAAGACAACATATACCACAGTGTCAACACACAAGGACAAAATATACCACATCGTTAACACACGGACAAAATATACCACAGTGTAAACACACAAGGACAAAATATACAACATTGTTAACACACACGGACAAATATACCACAGTGTAAACATACAAGGACAAAATACACCACATACTTAACACACAAGGACAAAATATACCACAGCGACAAAACAGTGGGACAATATATACCACAACGTCACCACACAAGGACAAAATATACCACATCGTTAACACACACGAACAAAATATACCACAGTGTAAACACACATGGACACAATATACAACATTGTTAACACACACGGACAAATATACCACAGTGTAAACATACAAGGACAAAATACACCACATACTTAACACACAAGGACAAAATATATCACAGCGACAAAGCACAGGGATAAAATATACCACATCATCAACACACAATGACAAAATACACCACATACTTAACACACAAGTACAAAATATACCACAGCGAAAAAACACAGGGACAAAATATACCACAACGTCAACACACAAGGACAAGACAAAATATACCACATACTTAACACACAAGGACAAAATGTACCACAGCGACAAAACACAGGGACAATATATACCACAACGTCACCACACAAGGACAAAATATACCACATCGTAACACAAGGATAAGATATACCATAGCGTCATTAAACAAGGACAAAAAAAATCACATCGTTAAGACACAAGGACAAAATATACCTTAGCGTCAAAACGTAGGGACAAAACATACCACAACGTCAACACACGAGTACAAAATATACCATGGTGTTAACATACAAGGACAGAATACACCACATCCTTAACACACAAGGACAACATATACCACAGCGACAAAACACAGGCACAATATATATCACAACGTCACGACACAAGGACAAAATATACGCTAGCATCAACTCAAAAGGACAAAATATACCACATCATCAACACACAATGACAAAATACACCACATCGCTACACAAAAGGAAACAACATACCATAGCGTCAACACAAAACGACAAAACGCACCACATCGTAAAGAAACAAGGACAAAATATACCACAACGTTAAGACACAAGGACAAAATATACCAAAGCGTCAACACACAAGGCCATACTATACAACAACGTCAACATACTTAGACAAATTACAACTCAAATCAGGAATAGGGTAACATCTATACAAAGCATTCATTATATATTTCTGCAATCGTATACGTAATGACTGATTAACGTATGCTACCGGTATAATGTTTTAAAACGTCGTGGGCGGCCAACAGGCATTAATTCTCCAACCTCAACACCAGGGGAGATTTTCGCCATAACTCTGTGCCGAGTGTTGTTTCAGGAACGTTCTAAGACACCCAGTGGTCGGCCATGATAATTTCTCTGTCAGAACGCTTAACCGAAACTCCGAATAAATAACGAGGTTTTCACAAAAGGACAGTTGTTTTTGACATGAAATGCACGTGCACCCAGTTTGCGCGTGAGATAAACCTACATAAATCACCCCGTGCACACTGGTATCTTCCGATACAGAAAGAGCTATCAGACTTGGGCTGTGTCAGGACGACAATGAATTGTGTAGTCAGGAACAAAATGTATTCATCACTTTGGAAAAAAAGGTCAGTTTCACATTTTATTTGGTGCTAATACCAGCAATTAGTTGTTTTTCCCTTCATAAACTAAAAAAAAAAAATCGAGAAGAGACGCATTTGTAAAAGCTTATATCTTATTATCATTGCTCGTTATTATGTATTTTCGCTGAATTGAAAGAAAAAAATATAACAGGCCAGTTAAAGGACACAGGGTATGTTATTTGTGGAAGTCATGTTAACAGTAAAAACCTAGCTCATAAAAAAGTACATATTCCACATTTTTGCTGAATTCCGTCTCTCCTGGGGTTGATTGTAACACCGTGGCCGATAACGGACACGGGTAATTAGTATGGTGTCAAAAGATGGCAGAAAAATAAACCGAAATATTCAGAAAAAGTCCGTTTACTTCCACCATTTCTCTTTATCTGATGAAAACATGAAATGAAGATCATGCGAAATATGTAACGGATAACGTGATTGGCGGTGTAGATTCCACGTGCCGTAGTTGCACGTTCGCCTCTGCGCGTGATGATTACCGTGATAATGAGGTGAAACCCCGTGGTAGAAATCGTCGATCCCCGATAAGTCTGGGCGGTTAGTGTGGTGAGGTTTGGGCTACTTGATACCTATAACGGACAAACCACCCCCAGTACAGCTGGCCCTAACAACCACGTGCTCGACAGACAAAATGTACAAACTTGACGATTTTAAAACTATTTTTCTGTCTCCTAAATAAACACGCCCTCAGTTCTGACTACATCTCAGACATTTTCGGATCAATTGTATAATGAATACAGTTTTCCTCAGAATAATTCAAGTGAAAAATTCCTAGTCCACACTTCCCCTTATGAAGGTCTATACTAATATGTCTACTTGAAATGGCTGTTATTATTCGCGAATATCTGTCGTACATTGATAATTATTCATCACGAGTTAGGGGAATTGTTTCTCTTAAAATGGCAAATTTTGATATCCGTTGTAGACTGCTCACTAATACACGAAAGTGAACTGCGCAAACAAGTACAGATTGTCAGACTCTAGATAGATAAGAAAGGACTCGTTGATAACTAGGTTTAGCATTAAATGATTTTATCAGATATAATCAGAAGGCTTTTATTATAAGGATGCGTTAATTGTAGCGGCAAGTGTGTTTTAGACCTTACATTACCGCTGTATTAGTGGTGACTGCAGCTTATTACATACTGACGATGTTACATGACTAAACCCGCCGATAAGGGATCTGAGAAAGGGCAAGGGGAGGGAGATACAATTAGCCCTAACTACCGGCCCGACCTCGGGGACACCGGCTCGTCCCACATTTTCACTTTTAACCCCCCCTCCCCCCGACTCCCCTCCGCTTACATGGATGTTTTCATTATTTTTAAAGTCGGCATTTCCAGACGCCCAGAGCGATATCAAACACCAACAAACACTTTATCTTAGGGAGCGCATTTTATTCATTTTGGTTTAAATTGTATTATACTGAAAGTGTATAGTGTATAATTTGTTGAAGCGACCTTCATATTTCATGTAACTGTCTCTTAAATGATAAAATATCGCGAAATAGACTATATCTAGAAATGAACTTCCGTGACCTAATGACCTTCACACTCCAGTCACAGAGGTCACGGAGTACGTTATTTAAGATTTAGGTAATGAATTACGTAAATGCGGCACCCGGTGTTAATGTTTTGGTTTAAATGGCCAATATGTACAGAAGCCTTTCTTAATCTCTATTCATGATGAGTCAATTAACCCAAACCTAATTAATTAAATTAGTTTATTAGCGAACACAGGGTTTAACCTACTGATGTGGTCCAATCGAACATTTCATGTGCAGCAGATTAAACTTTTATTTTCGCTCGTAATTGACTCAGTCCTGCCCGTACGACCCCTGGTGGTCGGACCGTAACATCACTGGTCTTTGTCGAGCGAGTAGATTTTTCTGCATAATGTTTGAATTCCGCCTGATTACTGGTTGGTTGACATGAGTATGTGGGAATTATCTATTATCTTTCTTACACCTTTGTTCCATTTTATTTCTTCATGTTGTCCGACACAGATCTGTGATGGAATAAGTTTTACAGCAGAACCATTTTTATCCACGCTAATTCGTATTTGTGTGAAATAAACATTTATATATAAAAAGTGTTCGCAGATTAAGAGGTTTCAGAAGGCACCTTTTGGTATATATTTTTGCATATGCAATATCCGATCAGTCCAACATACAATTTTACATATGCAAATTTCCAATTCTGCCTACAGGAAATAACTTCGCTTATTTGGTTTTAACTATTTTTGGGAATCAACTGGATGTTTAAAAAAATAATTCTTATTATTCTGCACGTAATTTCAAGAACTTCTAGAAGTTTCAGATTACTGTCTATTCCACTTAATTCGGATTATACAGAACTTTGACATTGGGAACAAGACATTTTACCCAGCTAGACAAGTAATCCCATGGACCAAAAATGATATCTGTTATTTAACTCACAATTATACTAAATTCCTCAATATATATAATACTTTACAAAATATTTTACTTTATATGCTATAGAAATCTTGATACAGGATATTTCGTATGATATATACAATATCTGATGTGTTACATAATATAATATACATCGTTTATTGTATACCTCATAACGAAATTTATATCAGATATTATATATATATATTAAATAAAAACTCTTATAAGGTCTATTTAAGATGCCTCATACACAATTTCGGTATAAGTCACATTTTAATAGGCATGATGAGTTGTCTTGTCATAACGTTAGATATTTGTCTGACGCTGAACACGATAAGATAAGTCTGTCAACTACACTTGTTATAAACAGAGCTACGTAAAATAGATAGACACCAAAATCAGCTTTATATTTTTACTTCAGTGCGATGTAAATAGACACAACACTCAGTTATTTATATGTTTAGTGGGATAGAAATATATACCAAAACTATTGGTATATTTTTATATTGATAAGATACAAAAATCGGCTATATATTTAATTTCTGTGTAATATAATTAGTCGCCAAACCCAGTCATACATATTGTCTGAGATGTAAATGAAATTATTATCAGTTATGTATGCCCTTTGTGTGACATAGACTCCAAAATCAGCTATAAAAAGATTATTTTCAAATATACATAAAATATCTATGAACACCACCTGTGGCAGCTTTATAAACCCTTATCCCGAAACTAGTACCAGAAGTGTAGGATGACAGGTGACTGAATACAATAGCATATTTCAATATAGAGCCGCACGTGCATTGTGCCATTGGTCACAAAAACATGGCAGTCACACTTCAATGAAAATCGACATAAAGGACATGTCAATAAATCGTTTTCTTTATTAATTGACGTGTCGTTAAACACCATTTGGTGACCATACTTCCTTAGTGCGTTAACCGTTCACACCATGTGATAGTGCGTGTTCATTTTGTCAACTTTGTTGCAGATATCACGTCATACCAGAAAACGACGTTGCTTTTCATGACGTTATACACGTTGCAAAATTGGACGGGTTCTGCATTTAAAGGATAGTTGTGGTCAGTATCTTTGAATATCAAGTTTATTTGGAGACCTGAGGAGAAAAAAAAACCCCACCATGCACAAAACACTTAGGCGATGGTTTCTCGTGACCGCAATCTTTGGTAGAGCTTACGATATTTAGTTGAAGGTTGCACGTAGCCTTAGTTGGTCTGGAACAGACAAATAAACACATGGATTGAGATTATGACGCCACATAAAACCTCGTGTCTGTAAGAGTGCGAGAAACGATTCCGTCACGGTTTTTTACGGAATGGCATTAAACCGTAGGAACACCTGGCGAGAAGTCGTAAAGGCGGTCACGTGACGTAAACGAGCATGGGAATTCTTAACGTTGCACTACAATTCCTGTATTTACAGAACACGAAATGCATCACACCCACGCCTAAATATCTTACACTGCATTAGCAGTTTATTTCGTCATCAGTTATTCTAGTAACACTTTTCTCAATGTGTGACGTCGTTTGGTCACGTGTTCCCTCACGTTATCAAAGCAGACGGATATCATATCTGATGTAAATAATGAACTTAAAACTGACATCATTTAATTAAAATTCCATTATTTTAGAAACAAAATCTCTCCACCATTTTCAAATTAAAGTAAGTGTCTTTGTTGCGATGTTGGGACATTAAATGATATTGAAACCTTGAGGTAAAAGTGGAGCCAAATGCGGTCCGGAATTGTGAAAGGCTGCCAGACTTGAGCTTCAGACTTCATCAAGTGCCCCCTAAGGAGCCATCGGTGTGTCGGTTTTTACGCTCAATATGGCATTATTCCCGAGAATCGCCCCTTATTCATTCTTGTAGAACGTCGTATTTAAATTTTGTTCTTTAGAATGTGAAATTGAATTATCTATCTTAATTGCTCAAAGAAGTGTCTTTTTGTCATCTTCCGCCACGTGTTTTAAGAATTAAATAATGAATTTATATTCTCAATATGCTTAAAATTAGCCTAAACAAATTATAGTCCTGGACAAACGTTTTGTTGAGCTAGATTCTCCGAAGCAATTATGTGCTGCTAATTAGCGCGTGGAACACGATTTCACCCGAGAGTAGTGCCGCAATATGTCTGTCAAAGCTCTACAAGACAGCTGATATTCTGTGTTCACACTTTTCAATTGTTTCATGTTCTGATACTTCACCACAGTGTTTCTTCATATCGGAGTTGAGAGTTTCTTCTGTGAAAATCTCTGATTTTTTTTATCATGTTGAGGAATTTCCATTTTTGTATATTATTTATTTATTAGAATAATCAGAAAAATACCAGGTTTAAGCATACTTGAACAAAAATCATTTTCAACACAGCATACCTAATTTTCAAGTACACTAGGCTGTTCGGAACACTGCACTCTCCGATTGTCGTTACGCCCGCGGAAACTTGAGTCTGTAACCGCCAGGCAATTAGACATTTTACGTAACAATCTCCAGCATGGTCACGTGTTCTAATACGTCCCGGACGGAAAAATAGCGGGAA